GCAGTGTCACTGGAACCCATGTTTGCTTGTCTGTATATTCTGTGCTAGGAAAACGCCATCTTTTCAGCTTGAGCAGCTCAACAAGAAAGTGTGATTGAATGAGAGATTCCAGGGTCTCCCTGTGCCGGACAGGGGATCTAGACCAAGCTGCTTTGATCACTGTTTATATCAGCGCCTCAGCAAATAAGGAGAATACCGATGGCCAGCACCTATGCATGGGATGGTTTTGAGAATTGAATGAAATTTTCAGTGAGCCATAAAACGTTGTGCAAATATTACTAGCAGGATGGGGGTTGGGGCTTTTGTGTCTTGTAGTTTGTTTGCTTGAGACAAAGTCTTGTCCTGTCATCCAGGCTGGAGTGCAGTGGCTCCATCATAGCTCGGTACAGCCTTGAACTCCCGATCTCAAGTGATCCTCCCACTTCAGCCTCCCAAGTGGCTGGGACTACAGATGCATACCACCATACCTGGCTAATTTTTTAAATTTGTTTGGAGGTGGGGGGGGGTCTCACTGTGTTTCCCAGTCTAGTATTGAACTTCTGACCTCGGCCTTGGCTTTATTGTTGTCAGTGGTGTAAAGAAATGAGAAATGTGTAAACTGCATATAAGTTAAAACTCTTACAGGTCTGTAGAGTGGAATAGAAGATTAACTCTAGACCAGGCCTGGTGGCTCACACCTGTAATCCTAGTACTCTGGGAGGCCAGGGCAGGTGGATTGCTTGAGCTCAGGAGTCAAGAGGGAGAGTGAGTCTGAGCAAGAGTGAGATCCTATCTCTAGGAAAAGTAGAAAAACTATCTATAGTCCCAGCTATTTGGGAGGCTGAGGCAAGAAGACTGCTTGAGCCCAAAAGTTTGAGCTGTGACACCATAGCACTCAATGCAGGGCAACAGAGTAAGACACTATCTTGGGGAAAAAAAAAAAAAAAAAAACTAACTCTGCTCTGAAATGAGTCCAAATACAATTAATTCCATAAAGCCTCCTCTGACACGTATCTCATCTCACGTACCCTCTCTTCTTAATACCATGGTCCTCAGCCCAATCACATCTAATGCTCCTTATATATTTCTGTTGTAAACCAGTTCTTATTATCCTGAAGGGTAATTTATAAAGTTTATAATCTGCCCATAATTTCAAAAGTCATATAGCACTCTATTTTTTATCATGTAAGAAGAAATTCAGGGACAGGCTGTGACATGTGACTCCCCTAGCACGACTTCCCTGGTAGGCACCAGGTAGTCCCCAGATACCTGTTCCTCCACGTGTAACCATCAGAAAGGGACCAGCCACAGATGCAGCCTGATTACTGTGATTTAAATATCACACTGGCATCACTGTTAGTGATATATTTTCTAAAATAATGAATAACTCTTGGTGATGTTCCAAAGAAAAGTATTATTTTCTGTCAATTTACAAAATTGTGTTTTACTGCAAACTTCATGGAGTATTAAAACAGTGCAATAAATGTTTTTATATTTGTACATAATATAGACTCAGGCTCAGATCATTCTAAATAGGTCTTTCACTCAACTGTATGTCCAGCAAGACATTTTAGAATCACATGTGAAGAAGGATAATTTCTTTGATGCATGGGGTCAACCAGTGAGTGGCAGCGGACCTCTGCACTTGGATCCACCCACAAATGCCAGTTGCGGTGATGATCAAAAACCCAACTGGATGAGCTCCTGACTCACCAGGGGGCAGCTGGTCCCCACCCTGCCCCACACTGAGAACCACTGCTGGGCTCTCCGCATCCAGCTCACACTTCTGCCTGAGATCTGCCCCAGATCAATGGGATCTCCTTCTCCTTTGCCCTTTTTCATTCTCTGTGTCTTATAGTCCAAACACTTCAGCTTAACCAAACTTATCTTTCTCTCTTTTACCTAAATTCTTTACCCTTAGCCTAGCACACTGGGTTCTCTTTAAACTATTTTGCTTTTGACTCTTAGCCCAGGTTGATGCCTGGAGGAGTCAGCAAGACTCAATTCTAATGTTTTCCACTCCACCAAGATAAATACAAAAGACGTAAAGTCTCTATATTTTTTATGGCTAAATAGTACTCCATGGTATACATGTACCAAAGTTTATTTTTCTATTCATGGGTTGATGGACCCTTGGGTTGATTTACATTTTAACAATTGGGAAATGAGCTGAGATAGACATTCTAGTGCAAATGTCTTCATGGTAAAACAACTTTTTTTCTTCTGGGTAACAAACTAATATAGCTCGTATGGAATCCTTGAAGAGATAAAGGTAGACCTTCCATTTGATACCATGATCCCATGGCAAGGTACCACTGCCATTTTCTGAACAAGCATCCTGTCCATACTTGGGCAGATCACCAGTTACCTCCAATCGCCACACATCAGATCACCCTACTTCTCCACCCCACATATATTGCTAATTCTCATTTTGGGGGAGGTGACACCCATTCTTCTGTCACTCACTTGGCTACCACGGGAATAAACTCTCCGAACCAGATCTTGTCTCGGTGTTTGGCTTGCTGCATAGTGAGAAAAACAGACCAGTTTGATAACTGAACCAAAATGGCGCAGCTCCCTGAAACTACAGAAGGAAAGAGTGAGGAATGGGGATGGAGTGGCTGAGAACACGTGTGGAATCAGCCTCCAAGGACACAAACAAGCATGGGGCTGAGAGCACAGGAAGGAAGACTCCAAGGATCAGGAGAATAGTGAGGGTCTCCCTGCTGAGTTAGAAGAAAACAGAAAGATCATGAACAAAACAACAAAGAAAAGCAGAGGCGGTGAGAGGAAAGGCCAAGGCAGAGTCTTGGGGGGAGGGCGTCTTAGGTGAGCGAAAGAGAAGTGGGGGTCTGCAGAGAGAGAGGCCTGAGAGGGCGGGAGGGTCCTCAGCAGGCCTGAGGACGCCAACAGCAAGATCCCAACGAGACGGAGAAGTTGCTCGAGTGAAACAAGGAAGCAAGAAGGATAAAGCAGGGAGGAAGTGACAGTCTCAGAAATGAAAGAGTTCAAGCTCCAAGCAGTGGAGGAACTCTGGGCGAGGACATACTGACCGCAGTGAGCACTGCACACAGCACTGAAGAGCTGGGTTCTGTGCTGAGCCGTCCCTACCAAGTGTCTCAGTAAATCCTTCCAGCACCCCAGCGGGGAGGGTCTTACCATTATCCCATTTTATGGATGAGTAAATTATAGAACAAGGTGGATAAGCCCTTTGCTCTCATAGGCTCACAGTTTCTAAATGACAGGTCTGGAATTTAAACCTAGAACTGTCAGCTCCAGGGAACTTCATGCCAGGCTACCCAAGGTAATCGTTACTGTCACCCGGTGAGCAGCTCCATGCAGGGGAAACAGAACTGCAGAGGATGCCGAGTCTGAACTGCGTCTGAGTATAGAGTTGAGAAGGTGATCAATTTCGATGTTGGATTCTCTTGGACTTTAGCAAAGAAAGGCAGGCTGTGTATCAGAGCCTGGGCCCCGAAGGAAAGCAAGAAAGTTTTGACGAACGAGGCTACCTGGATTTCAACACCAGCAAGGCTGTGGCTCATAGTCCCAGAACAATGGTCAGAGAGGTAAGCAGAGAACAGATACGCCAGCCCCACCTTCTGTCCAGTTACGGGAAAGGAGTAAGAGACTAAGAGATGAATACACGTGGAGGATTACAAGAGAAATGGTGTCTTCAGAGAAAAGTCAGGCTCACCCAGGAGGAAAAAATATATATAAATAATGTACGACAAGATCTGTGAGTTTTTTAAAAATATAGTCTCAAAGCATAGGATGCACAGATTCAAGTGAGACAAATCTAAGACAAGATACCAAGGCTCTTTGGATGGGAATACCAACCAAAGGCCGGCTGGAGGAAGGGTAAATGACTGCAGGATTGAAGACTGCGACAGTAGGGCCCTGAGCTGGGGAAGAGTTTGGAGCAGGACGGAAACCCAGGATGCGGTGGTGTCGGTTTGCCCGGCGGCCACCAGGGGGCGCTCCCGCCTCCTCCCTCGCCGCGGGGAGGTCAAGCGCCCCGAGACTAGTTCAGAGTCTGGACCCGTCACTAGCTGTAGGGTGAGGACAAAACGCTGAATCCGCTGGTAAATGGAGGTGATGAAGTGGAGACAGTGAGAGTGGCTGTGAGGATTCGCAGTCAGCACAGTCCTGTGGAGAAGATGCCCTTGGCAGAAGCAAGACCTGAGCTGGGCCCTGCGGTGGCGTCCAGGGGCCCCGCGTGCTCGGTGACCTCTAGCAGGTGCTGAGGCTTCCCTCGCTCGGGACGCCGCTCTTGGGGATTGTGTGTCTCGCCAGCTCTCCCGCAGGGTGAAGCTGCCTCCAGTTTTCTTTTTCAGGAAGAGCCCGTGGACGGGAAGCCAAGCTGGGATCAGGCCTAGGGTGACATGTCCTTTCTCTGAGCAGACTCTCTTCCTTCTTTGCCTCTTCCCTGCAGCAGAGTGCGGGGTGTTGGGACTGAGGGGCTGGTCTGGGGAGCACAGCCACGGAACTGATTCTCACTTGAATCCGTCCTGGGAGGGCTGCGGCTCAGGCACAGTCTGCGACCACCGTGGTCTCCCTCTGCGGGGGCGCTGTGGACCCCAAGGGCAGTCGCCCCCAAAATGACCGCCCACCGGAGCTGGAGCAGGAAAGTGAGGAAAGACCCACTTCTGCTGTTTCCATTTCTGGAGCACATCTGTCCACACACAAAGCTCTCAGCTTTAGGGTGGCTGCCTCCACACGCATTGACTTGGGAACAAAATAAGACCAGGCAAAGGGCAGAAACTTTCCTTGCAGTAACGACTCACAGCAGCAGTGGGTCCTGGGCCCCTCATTACCATTTTATTGTGTTTCTCTTCTCTGCACCCTGAGGACTTTCTCTGGAATAAACATAAGACCAGTTACTTGAGAAATAAAATGTGTTTTTCATTAAAACCCCACTCTGGCCCCTTCAATCCCAACAAGGCATTTCCTGCCTGGTCTAATTGGGTTTCAAGTTATCAGTGTTACCTCCTTTCTCTACAAGGAGGCAAAAGTATAGGACGTCCTGTGTCCTACCAAGAGCCCTCCTACCACGGTTTGAAAGGAATCTTCCCTCTGGGAAGTTAGAAGGAAATGCCCATATAGGAGGGAAGGGTGTTCAGAAGTGGGAGAGAAAGCGTCCCATCCTGAGGACTCCGGATCCACTTTCTTCCTCTGACCCTCATTCAAACCATTTTCCTCCCCACTGAGTTACTCTCCCCAACCCTATCAGCCAAGGGAAGTAAGTCCTCAGGCACAGAAAGCAGAGCCTCTTCCCCTGCCAGAGTTGGAGGCATCCAGAATGTTTCCCAAGAGCAAACTTACCAGAGTTCTCCACAGAGGCAACCAAAGCACGCCTTGCAGAGGAAGCCGGCCTCCATCTGCAGCCCGTCAGGGAAGCCTAGAACCACACTTAGCACAAGCCCAACCATGGGAGCCCCTGACCGCCCAAGCAGTGGTTCTCAATTCTGACTTGGATATAAATGACGTGATATGAACCCAATATCCCTTAAAGCTCCTCAGAGGAATTCAGATGAGCCGGCTAAGTTAAGAACTGCCCTGCTGGAGCTATGCTGTCTAGACCACTTAAAGTTAAATTAGTTGAAATTAAATAAAGCTAAAAATTCAGTTCCTGAGTTGCCCTCTCTATATTCAAGGGCTTGGTAGCCACAGGTGACCAGGGCCTGCTATGTTGGAAAGTGTAGATAGACGATATTTCCATTATCACAGAAAGTGGTACTGGGCAGCGAGGTCTGAGATCATCAAAACGGCATAAAACTCCTCAGTTCTTCTGACTGTTGAAGATTGTGTTTTCCGTGTATAATTGTCTCTCCCTGTCCCTGAGCTACAGACCTCAAGGCAAGCTCCAGTGTCTACACCTCCTCTGCTGAGAAGCCTCGTTGGCTACCCAGAGCCAAAACTGAGGACAGGGCAAGGACTGTGCCTTCATCACTACCCTGTCAAAGACACCTGGAGATTCCCTGACTTGCCCCAAATCACACAGTGAAGGGCAGAGCCAGGATTTCAAACCAGGCGGATTTTCAAAACGCAAACTTGCTTACTCAGCCCAGCCACCCCATGCAGGAGGACGACTGGCCACATCAAAGCTTCCTCTGAGTCCATGCTCAGCACATTCTGACTTCTTCACTCCCATCGCCTCCAAGGTCAGCACCTGCAAAACTGTGACACAGACTTTTTGCCGTAAGCGTGCCTTGTTGTGGACCACAGGGAAGGGCCACCCTTTGTTTGGCTGGTGAGACTTGCTGGCAGGGGCCTTTCTGATTAAAAGAGGGCATGAACCTTCAGAACAACTCCCTTACAGGAATACAAAGAGAGCCACCAGCTCGTGCAGCTTTCAAGATAGGAGCTTCCAGGAGTGAGGCCGCAAGCTTGCAGTTGCTGTGGTGTCCTGTTGCTGCAAACAAATTGTTTCACATCTTTTCAGTACCTGGGAGAAAACACCTGGGCTCTGTTAGGCTGCCATTGGCTTGATTTAGCCTTAAAACTGCGTGCAAGCACAAGCTGGTCTGTATGTGCGTGGGCAGGCCCTGTGTGTGTGGTGGCGGGAGGGTCACAAAATGAGGAAGGAGGAAATGGAGCTGAGAATACCTCTACACACAATGCATGTGTACATTCCAATTATGTTCAGTTATGTCCTTGAAAGCCATCAAGAAGGGGAGAAGAAGAAATTTAAGGGGTAAGTTCAGAATAAACCCATCCTGCTCTAGAACATGAATAATAACTCACATGCTGCTGGCCTCAGACCACTGACTAAAGGACCCTGGACTTTGCCCTGTTGTCATATTTACCTTCTTACCTATACTCAGAGTCACCCCAAATCACTACTCTTCTTCCAGTTTGCCGCCCTTTGCAGACTTATGCCAGTCAGGCTGCCAGGGGGCCTGAACACAAAGCAAACAGCTTCTGACCACTGTGGGCCTGAGCTCAGGACCAATACTGGACACCCAAAATCTACCCCCTTGATACATCATCTCATGAATCATGCATGATATTTTTGTCTTCTTGTCAAAATTATAATGCAAATTACAAGTTTATAATGTGGTACCTTTTATACTAATGGTGCTGTTATCCAGTCTATGCTTTGATGATATTTATGTTATTCTCGTGGACTAATACGGCTACAACCACAATAGAAATGGCTATTTCCTTCATTCTGCAAAAAGAAGGATGCCAGCAATAACATATTTCTGATGGAGAGACACTGGCTTTACCCACTTAGGCCACAAGCCAGGGTCTTTTTCACAGCATGAATCAGAGCGTAAACCCCAAGTTCAAGGCTCCTTCTGCTCACCTGCTTCCCTTTGAGGGAGACCTGCATCCCTAGGTTAGCATACGAGGAAGCAGGACGCAGCTTTTCTTCTGACCGAGACATCCAAGGGGCCCTACAGGAACCAGAGGGAGATGATGAGGCCCCCTCTGCAATGGGGACTGTTCATCTGGCACCCCATGTCTGGGTGTGGAAATAGATACCAGGCTCTTGAAACAGGCTTTCCGTTCCCCAGCTACTCTGGGCCTCCTTCTCCTCAACTGCTGCTGCCTCAGACAGCTCCTTCCTCCTGTAAAACAGAAGACTCTGCCACCTGCTGTGATGCATGGAAATAGGAGATCCCCACTGCCACTTCCCACCCAGTGGGGTGCACAGTGTGCTGTGTGCCTTGTGTGTGCAACTGGCCAAATCTGGAGATTGTCCTCGGTGTCTTACCTATGGGAAGGGGCCAACTCAGGCCAGAACTACCTGACGCTTTGGCTTAGTTTACCAGGGGCTGATGCCTGATGATAATGCCAGTTGCCCAGAGGACAGGCACATCACACACAGATGAGCTGATCTGATTTTTAACAAGTGGCCTGATGAGTTCACTTGTTTTAACAACCCAATCAGATTGACTAGGTGGCAATGCATCGATTTCATGGCACTGCCTGAATCAATCTGAACAAAACCATGTAGTGCCACGTATAAGCACAGCTGAATTCACACAAGTGGGATGAAATCTTTCCTTTCAGTTCTTGAGGAATAGAATATAAAAGTACTTAGGTGGTGTCTCTCTCTCTCTCTCTCTCTGTGAGGCCAAACCAACCCTCGCTGCACTTCTGTCCCAACCCCTAACTCCCAAACAGAACTCCGCTTCTTCTCCTGGCTTCAGGCGCACACACTCTTTCTTTGCACGCACTGAGCTCCAGGCAGGACATTTATAATCACAGTAGGTAAGGACAGGACAGAAAAAGCGTGTGTGTGAACTGTCCAAAAGTTTCTTTCCATGGGATGACGAAAGCCCTGACCTCTGACCCAGGCATCAAAGACACATTGATTATGTTCTGAAGGAAAATTGATCCAGCAGGATGTATGCAGAATGAAGATTCTAGAAGACTTTTGGCTGACACTATTTGACTAGCACCTTACTCCTCAGCCCTCTTAGCCATCATACTCCTTTCTCATTAGACAGAAGAATGATCCGAGGGGAGCCGTGGGGTTACTGGGGCCTTTCCCTGGACTGTGCCTGGTGGTAACATCCAATTCTCCGTTTCATTTCTCCTCGGTACTCCATGGATGTTCCTCACATCCAAAGGCCAGCTGCTTATGGGATTCCTGTAACTGGAGCTGAGCAGGGTATTTCTAATGACCGTTCTTTGTTGTTAGCTGTGGCCTCCCTACATCTCTGTTTTCTCATCTGTAAAATGAGACGGTTGAATTGAATCATCTCCAAGATCTCTTTCAGCTCTTGCCTCGTACCCCTTTAATAATATTAATATATCAGGCGAGCATTTGCACAGCTCATTTACATCTTGTGGAGCAATTTTATATCTAAAATCTGTGTTGTTCCTGCTCTGTTGTTCTAGGAAAACAGATCCTTTGATTTCTTCAGACATATTGCCTTGATGGATCAGAACGGTTACTCAAGGGTCTAACCGACTTAATGTGGAAGATGTTACGTTGCTATGGCTGCCGTCCCACCCACCCCTGGACTCTCAGCCACATCTGGATTCCTTAGGCACAATGATGCCTTGTTTACGTGAGAGTAACACCACCTGTCAGGGTTCCGTGTGGCGAGGACCGTGGCCTGAAGCAATGAGCTTTAACCACCTTGTGTTTCAAGACAGAACTTTTCTTCCTTATGGTTCAGCTTTGGCCAAGACCTTAAAATACAGCCAAGGCATTTAAAAAAGAGCCGGGAGGAAAACCCTTGGAAGGTTTCTGTACTTTGTATTTTTTTTAAAAATTCTTTTTTTAAGATATACTTTTTACTATTATTAAAATCTCCCCCAAGCACACAGAACCTAGAGTATCCCTATTAAATTATATAGAGCGAGTCCAGCCCCTGACTGTCAGTGGGGCCCATCAGTCCTAATTTATCGCCCCAGGAAACACAGTACAATTATGGTAATAAATAATAATAGGATTCAGTACATGACAACATGAATGATGGAGCCTCTCAGAATTCATTTACATTGCTTTGTGTTGCAATCATCATGCCTCTAATGTAATGCCAAGCAAATGAGCCCCTTTGAATATTGTGCAATCTATTGCAAGTCAACTGGCACAAAACTCACTCAATAAATCATGTTCAAACACATGCCTGTAATGACAGGTAAATCAACAATGAAGTAATTGCATTTAATGTATTGAAATACTGGACAAAAAAACAGTGACCTCAAAGTGACTTTTTGTAAAAGGTATGATATTAGTTGCTGTGGAGAGTGAGGCCCTGCCCAGGGGGCGCCTTGCTCAGACGCACATGCCAGAACTGACAAGGTTGCTCTCAGCTGGCCCTGACTGACCACGTTCCCTCCGCGGTAGTCATGAGATCCAGGTGCCAGAGGCTTCCACATACCCTACCCTTCAGGTAACAGTCACAGATGAGGGTGGAAATCAGCCTGGTGCTCAGCAACCTCTCCTGTGCCTGAGCTGTCACCCAGCTCCAAGTTTTGAGGCCAACTCTGAAGGCCGCTTGGCAGGGAGCAGAGCGAACCTGCATCAGAAGTCAGTAGGGCTATGTTCCTGCCCCAGCTCCAGCGTTACCTAAATCACTGTATGACGCCGGCCATGCCATGCTACTGCTCAGGCCTTTGTCTATGAAATGAAATGGCTGGACTTTGATGACTAAAATTCATTGCAGTGCTAACACTCGATGAAGCTCTGATTCTAATTTGAGGCCTTCACTTTTAAGCAGGCGGAAAGTGCTCCCCCCACTCTTCCGTGTGGAAGGCACTGGTTTGAACTTCATCGTTTCTGTTGGCCGGGCCAAGTGTATGTGCTTCTAATTTCTGTGCATCTTGGGCCTGCCCCTTTCTGGGCAAGCAGACAAGTCTGAAAATAGGGCCCCAGGGGCCTAGTGGATGGATAACAGACAACATTGAGATGACAGGCTTCCCCACACTCCCTGTTGCATCCATGCCAGCCCCCCTCCTCCCAGGGACAATGTCAAGGAGAGATGAAGCAGAGCCTCTACGGAGCCAAAGGCCACTTGAGGAACGTTCTTGCTCTCGTGAAAAGCTCATTCTTGGCTGAAGGGTTCCGCAGCCCTTCCCACGCGCCTACCTCCCTCTTTCTGCCCGACCGCCAGTCCCTGACTGTTGTCAAAGTGGATCTCATGGGCCCCATAATGTTGGAGATGGGGAAAAGTGGGAAGGATGGACAGAGAGATCACCACATTTAGAGTTAGGAGATCTGGCATTGGGTCCTGGCTGGAGGGCGCGTTGGACGCATGACTTTGTGCCTGTTCCCTGACGTCTCGGAGCCTCTAATTGCTTCATCTGCAAAGTGATAACACTAATACGTGCGTCTCCAGTGAGGCTGGTGTGAGCAAAGTGTGACAAATGCGAACAGGCTTTGCTGGTTTACAGCGTGATGCAAAAATCTCATTTGGATGATTATTTGGAAGAAAAGAAGACTTGGCGACTGGGGTACTGTGTTCTGCACTCAAAAGGGCTTCTTACCAGGAGAGAAAATCTCTCGTTTATTTGCCTGAGTGCTGTCATTGGTGGACTCTCCTCAGGAGAGCGAGGGGGACCTAGGGGGTTGTTCACATTGTTCACATACCACCAGCGTCAAGAAGAACGTTGTGAGGCATCCACAGAGCGGGGGATTAAGGGTCGTGTTCTCTCTTATTTTTTTTTAATAAGAAATTACAATGAGACACTGAATTTCAAGGTATTTTTCAAAAACACATTTGGCACTAAGGTGTCCTAAACATATGAACACAGCCTCCTGCTTCGTGAGCATTTTGTGCTGAAATGTGGCTGCTTAGAGGGAAATAGCTTCCTGAGCAACGGCCCTCACTGGAAGGACGGTGGTTGGAAAGCCTTTAAGCCCACGAAGATGCTTTCTGAGGCCAAACTGGGCCAAGACTCCCAGGCAACAGCGATCCAGAAAAAGACGGCTCACTTCAAAGCAGGACGGGGTCTGGGAAACACCAGAAGCATTTCTACATTACCGAGACCTGGGGAGTCACGGCTAGCACGGCCATCCAGAGCCCTGGAGTTAAAGCTAACAACTTTCCATGCTTATTATCGGTCATCCACGGGCCCTGTCCAGCCTCTCTGGATGTCTTTCTGTCCCAGAACTGTGAAGCCTGCTCGGCAATGGCCTGTGCTCCCTCTTCTCAGACCAGGCTGCTGCTCTCTGGATGACGCCCTGATCAGCAAGGCCACGGCAGGCAGAACAAAGGCCCCTTTAAGGGGGCTGGTGGGAAGGAAGGCAAAACTGGGGGCCCTGGAAGAGGAGAGGAGAAAAAAGCACAGAAAAACTCTAATTTTAGAAAATCATTACCAGTTGCAGGATGTGGAAAGTGTTCCCTAAAGACAGGGGCATCAGGTAGGGTGCGATCCAGCTGCAGTTTCTCCATCTGGGCCCTGAAGGAGCCCTGACGGGAAGGAATGGCTGTTTGGATAGTGTTTCTTTCCCAATATTGTGCTAGAAGGAGGTTGTTCCCGGAAGACAGATCTTTGGAGGCAACTTGGTAGCTACCTACCTCCCACTCTCCCACCCCTCCCAGGACTCAAAGGTCCCTTCAGGGAAAAAGCCAATGACAAGAGTCTGGGGCTAAGGGAGAAGGAGATTCTTCCCAGAATCTCTGGGAAGAGAGAGAGAGAAGAATTTCTCTCATAAGCCCCTTTCCACTCAACACTAGGTTAACCTGAGTGACTAGTCAGTGTGAGTGGTTTAATAGATAGCCACAAATTCTCACAATTCAAAAACCCGGCCATCTCCCCAGCTCGGCATGGGGGATGCCCTTTGCCCTCATTTCCAGCCCCCCCTCCCTCCTGCCCCAGCTCTCTCCCACTTCATCATCGAATTCCACTCAGGAACTCAGGGGCAGGAAATAAACTCCTGTCTCTTGTCATTTTATGAGGCCGTTCCCAAGAGCCGGTGAGCTGCAGCCTGGCTGGGACGTGGTGTTGGCTCAGGCAGCTTGATTAATGACAGAGGTCAGTGGCCTCTCACACTGAATCCTCGAGGCGCACGCTCGGCCCAGCTAGAAACAGAGTAGAGAGGACGAGACACCAGAGACCCCGATGAACGTAAGAATCAGAGACAAATCAGCCTGGTCCCCAACAGGCAAGGCGACCACCAGCATTCCCCATCTGTCCACCTTTCATTTTATTTTGTTTTAACTTAATTTAATCCAATGTATTTATTTACTTATCTCTTGCAGTCAAATGATTTTTTGAGACAGGGTCTCATTCTGTCACCCAGACTGCAGCCTCCGGCACAATCACGGGATGTTGCAGCCTCATACTCCTGGGCTCCAGTGATCTTCCTGCTTCAGCAGCTGAAGGGGTTACAGGGGTCCACCACACCAGGCCTGTCTTCCTTTTAAAGAGTAAATATTTGGTATCAACTCTTTAAAAGGACCCCTCTTCTCAGAGAATATCTGTATCAAACATGGGACAGAAATTGCCTGAAACCTGCCCCATGTTGTTACTGGACCGCTGGAGCCCCTCTGTAAGAAGGAATTATAATCTATGATCAGCTAGACGACCTGAGCCTCTGGCGGGTAACTGAGGAAGCTCAGTCTCCGGGAAAGGCACCTATAAGTTTTAGTGGGAGTTTTCCACAGACAGAGCATTTGACTTTTATGTTGTCTATAAATACCCCTTTGACTCTGCTTACAGGAAGCAACCACACATTCTACTGAAACGACCCAGATTCTATTTCCTATTCATTAGCCACTGTCAAGAATTCCAGCCATGTGCCAATGGGACAGAGATGGACAATGGGATGAACTGGGGCAGTGGAGTGAGGCTGCCGCGTGGACTTGGGTCCAGAATCCTACATGTAACCATTTAGGAGATTATTTCCTATTCTCTAAGTCATCTTTAAACTTTGGCCCCAAATTTCAAATCTAGGGATTCTGAGCTATCCATGATGAATTATCCTCATACTTCACTGGGACACATTTTCTGAGCTATTTTCTGGTTAGGACAATCTTTGAAAACAACAATCCATCAGGATTTGAAAGATTAAGGTCCACTTCCTGAGTGGGCAGAGCTCGGCTCCCCTCACATTTCTTCCAGACTCAAACCGAAAGCATCTAACTTTCAAACTCAGAAATAATCAAGTAGGCACGGGGACCTTCTGGATCCTTGAGTCCACATCATCGCTTCGCGTGTGAAACAATGAAGGGGTAGTAGAGAGATCCAGGTTGACTTAGAGAGGTGTGAATAGGTATGAGAGAACTAACGTCAGACCCAGGGCTCCGCAGACTAGCGTTCATTCAAAAATAAAACATTTTTCCTGGTGGTTGGCAAACACAAACTTCTAGACCAAGATGAGCAAAAACACACAGCTTGTTAACTAGTCAAGAAATGGTGAAGCTGAATACTGGGAAATAACACCCCAAAGGTGTCCTACGGAACAAGCAGGCCTTTCATCAATGCTGCGCCCAAAAGGGTTTTCAACGAACAAGAGAGAATATCACTGTAAACAAACCTGTTTAACTTAGCACAGCTCAACATTCTCTAAAGTGTGTTAATCCAGAAATCTCAGACAGATCTCTTTCCCGTTCTCCCTTCTCTCCCCGTCTCCCCTCCACTGCTTTGTACAACATTTATTAACGTACAACAGAACTCTGAAAAGTGCAGTAAAGAGAGAGAGATGGGCCAGAATAAAGAGGATTAAACTCTGGTCACAGACTCGTATCTGACACTCTTTTATCCCAGCTTGAGGAGAGGGAACAAGGCCTTAGAACATAATATTCTCCAGTAGATGAAGGTCAGTGGCCTGGGGAGGCCCTATTTTGAGGTTGGTCATTATTAACAAAGCCATTCTCTTGTTAAACTTCACTTACTAAATATGCCTCCTGTCTACTCAAATGATTTGGTTTTTTAAAAATGTGTCCCTTTTCATGATAAAGTCAACAAAACTTCCATCTCTCCCATTAAAGCTTCTCCCTCCACCGCTACTTCCCGACTCTGAAATAATCCGTCTGTGCACCCCACAGGGGAGACGTCACCTGGCTTTATATGGAGTTCAAAGAAAGCCTCTTCTTTTAAATTACATAAATCTCTGGAACTTTCTGTTTTGTTTTATCTATAATTATAAACTTAATTATAATTTAATTATAATTATTCCCTTCTTCTTCATCCCCCCCACCTTTTTTTTCTTTTCCAGGCCCCACTCTGTGCTGCAGCCCAGCAGCCTGGCCAAGTGTCTGGGTCCCCACCAGCAAGTGGTCTGTGCTCTTTTAAGAAATACGCACACATGTTCTGCCTCTTATTTCCTGAGTGGTCCCAACACCTGGAGTGATCAGAGTCCAACAAAGCGAGGCCAGGAAATTGAGTTCTTCTTGACTCTTGGCTGGGACATTTAAATATTGGAAGATGAATGTGCTTTGCAACTAAAGGCCCTGCCAAGAAATTCACGAGACGTGGTGCTGCGGAGGAGAAGAGGAAAGGAACCTCACTGATCCCTCCGACAAGGAGCTGGGCAGTTTGTGATTTCATCTCAATTTTTTCCTTATCTACTACGAAGCAAAAGATAACTAAAAATCACTCTCCCTCCTACATACACATACAAACACACACACGTGTGCGCGTTCATATGTGCAAAAATATTTTTCAAAAGGGGTGGGGAGAGGAACTTGGAAGCATTTTCTAAGGCAAAAGGCTGTTGATTACTGCCAAAGTGCTGATTTTTTTTTTTCTGCCTCTGGCAACTGTACGAGAATTGGAGACTTCAGCAAAGAAGAAATCCATTCACCTGTCATCGCATAAAACCCCTGTGTTCCACAGAGGAAATGGCAGAATTTCACCCTTAACTGGATTTGTGGATTCTTATTGGGGCCGTGAGAGGCGTCGAAGCGTCCTGCGTTCTATGACGTTCCCTGACCTCCCTCTGCCATGTGAAGGAAGGGCCGGGCCTCCAGAGAGGCCTCATGTCAGGGGGAGACAAAGGTGAAGGGACAGAAGGACGGAGGTAGGACCAGCCCGAGTTCCCAGCCCAGGCCAAAGGGAATGATTCCAACCTGTATGACCCCAGAGTGTTGGATTAAAACTTCTTTAAACAACTAGAGCACTGGGGATACTTCTCCCCCCTGGAGTATATCACATGTCTTATTTAATTGACTTTTGTTTTTTAATTATACCTGTTTGAACAATTGCTTGTTTTTGAGGTTAGCACGTTCTGTGTATGGTCATTTTGCTAAACACATTACTC